CGATCTCAGCTGACGAGCTAGCTACATCTGATGTGCCAATCGTATGATGAGTCAAAGGGAAGTAAAGATACGTAGCGTTAAATACAGATTACACGCATTGACATATGAAGCGAAGAAAACTGCGCATTTAGGATTATGTTATTGCATTGGAAGTTAACGATTTCTCAGGAAAAGGTTGGTAGTAAAAGAGCTTATCATTGCGTTTATATATATAATATAATATATAATTGCGATATATATATATACATATATATATATATATATTTATGATATTTAAATTATAATAAATAATTTAATTGTTTCTCAGATTATGTTTGAACATTTTAGAGAAACGATTCTCTTTCGTGAAATCCTTTTCTTCTCGTTTAACAAAGAAGACCTTGAGGCCTCTCTTGTAGAGTGAGAGAGAGAGAGAGAGAGAGAGAGAGAGAGAGAGAGAGAGAGAGAGAAAGAGAAAGAGAGAGAAAGTATTATAAGCCTGGGGGAACGTCTGCATGGCATTAATATTTGAAGTTGGTTCGTAAATATGTGCCAAACGAGTGAGTCACTTTATTATTCAGATAATAATGATAAACTAGTGACTTGAAATTGTATTTTCTAATTTATAACCGAAAAAAACATAAGATATCTGAATTATTCTATGTATAATAAATAGATTCATTATTGATAAATAATTTTATCCTAATAAATTGAATAAAGTTAATTTTTAATAATAAATTGAATAAAAGCGAATTTTAGTAAAAGCTAGCTGGACGTAAAGAAATATTTAAAGTCATGAACAATCACTATACAATATTGTGTTTACGTAGTAAAATATCAGACTCACTTAACATCCTGAAGCAGATGAATACTGTGTACTGTCTCTAATTCCACGACCTCTTTCAGCGTAGACATGCTCTTGTCAGCGTAGAACGATAATTTCCGATCGAGCAACACTGCTGCTCTCGGCACGAGGTCCTTGGCCCTCTCGATACCCATTCCAGTCCTCCACAGGAAAATAATGATATTTATTATTTCTAATTAATACTTCAATCAATGCGGTCATTCAGTTTAAACGAACGATTATTTAAACGCAAGTTCAAAGTTAATCGCAATCGATTACTAAATGGAATCATTGAAATATTTTTCTTCTATAATCTTTATTTTATAAATTTTTACTATTTAAGAATTTCTAAAAAATGTTTAATGATAATTTTTAATGGATAATTTTTTAAATTTGTAAATCAAGAGATTTTCATTGAATTAGAAACAATTAAATTAATCAATGAATTTATCGTTCGATTTGTCAGTTTCGTAAAAAAAAATTTCGGAAGCTCCATGAAATATATTTCTCGCACAAGTTCATGTTATTTCTTACCTATATACTATTCCCCTATGTGTGACCGGATTGTGCGGAACGTTCACCTTCGGCCTCTCCATTCGCAGTGACCTCGAGCCGGACTCACCGATATGTTCGCGAGTCCTGGCTAACAGTTTACTACCACTCTTAACAAAACTGATCACATTAGGCTTGATGGCATGCACCGTGGACTCCTGTCGCAGTTTCTTTAATTTTTGTATCACGCTCACTTTGCGATTGTCCTCGGCGAGCCTCGGTGTCGCCGAAGAAGAATTGGTAACATTCTCCTCATCATTATTGGCAAGTGTCGTTGTAGTCACAGTCATATTCGCATTTGGTTGAGGAAGCGGAGGACCCTTCATAGAAGACCTGGGAGGCTTCCTGGGAGGAACAGCCGGCTGCTTTTTGGTCACCAAATGCGCCAGTTTTGGCAAGAGAGGCGGATTTTTGCTTGAAGCTTGGACCTTGTCGGGTTGTTCCACACCTTCTGCCACATCATATTCGTTTTTGGGAAGAGAGTCAAATCTCTTGGGTGGCTCCGGAGGTGTGATACCAGAATGTATCAATTCTTCGTCCTCTTGCTCCTCTTCGGCGCTCTCGCGAAATTCCAACGTACTATCAGCACTACTAGGCAAATCGTTGGTAGCTAACAAAGTCTCAAGCAACATCAAATCGTTGTTCTCGTAATTACTATAAACGTTTTCGTCTTCGGAAGTCTTCGCGAATGGATCGAACTCAAAAAGTACAGACTTGCTGCTTTGCACTCTGGTGTCCGAAGGACTCGTCGTCAGTTCTTGTCGACAATCGGCTTTCGGCGGCGATAGATTCTCATAGAGAGAATTTTGAATGGAAGCTTGGCTCTCGAAGGACGCGCAAGAAGTTCGATCTACTGGCGAAATTTTCCTCTCAAAGGATTTCTCCAAGCTTTCCTCTTCTACGTTGAATATCCTATCCACTTCATCGACATTCTCGCTTTTCGTACCTGGTGTGACGTCATAAAAAGTCCAAGAATCTGATCTCGATAGCCTTTTGGTAGACGTTTCAGATTTGTCGAGCGATAGACTTGCATTGACATCAGACAAGTTTAGACTTTGGTCGGAATCACTAGCCTGTTTGAAAAAGATGGATTTAAGAAGGATAAGATACATCTAAATAATATTTACCAATATAATGTGACAATAATTCCAGCGTTTAAAAATAAAACTGATTATATTGAGAATAACAAATCAGAATATAATAATAATAATATTTTTTATTGCAGAGTTATGAAGAGAGTGAAGAGCGTGGTCTGATTTTACCTGATTTCGCGAGAAGCCGAGGACATTGAAGTCGTGAAAATCTCGCTCGATCTTGTCGGACACCGTAGAACTGAGTGTGTCGTATCGGTCGCTACTTCCCGACGTGACGGATTGCAATTCGTCGTAGATAGATTCGTCCGGAAGCGGGGGTGGCGGATAAACTGGAGGCGGCGGGCTGTGTCTGCCACCGGTGGATAGATCCTCCTCATTCTTCACGCTTCTCAGATTGCCGCTCAAAGGACTATAAAATGAGATGCTGCTAAAGATATTATCAGCTGGCATGGACACGCATCTATCCTCCTCAACTGGATCTTTGAGTTTCTTCTGGACACCGCTTTGGCAGACTACGTCGTCCTGATTCAAAGATGATAGTCGCCGAGTCAACAAATTCTTTACCGACTTCTCCAACCGAATACTGGCGTTTCGCGTGCTGGAAATAACGGCACGTCCCTTCACCGTCATCTTCTCTGAGATCTCATCCTTCAATTGACGCGAGCTCGTACTGAGGCTGCGAAAAAACTCGTGGTTGCCGCGACTATTTTCGCTGGTACTGCTGGTTGACCTTAAATCGTCACTCTTCTCGGATTGACTCGATTCGCTGGTTGGACTGCTGGAATGAGTCGATGGCAAGGTGGTCATCGGCAAGAGTCTTCGGGGCGCCGGTATCGGTCTGCTCTCAGTTATGACTGATCGCGGCTTTGGTATCGGCTTCACCTCCATCATGGAGATTGATTCTTCCACAGTAATGTCACTCTAGTAAGATAATTTTAGGTCTTCTCTGATGTTAACCCATTGATTCTAAGACATATAAAAATTTTTCTAATTCTTCGTAGCTCGAATTAATGCAAGCTTAAGTTGAAAACTTTTTTTCTTTAATTTATCAGAGTGCCTAAATATATTTAAAATAATATATAGAATAACAATTGAATAATTCAATTGTTCAGCTAACAATAATGTTAAAAGCGGATAATTCAAATTTTTTACAATTTGTTTTTTTTACACTTTTTTTTTTTGCTTTTATTATCACGAGCTCTCGTAAAATTCTCGTAAAAGAGATGCGCTTTCTAAAACATCTTCAATAAAAAATTGTGTTTTCCTAGTGCCGCTACCAATCAGGTTACGCCTATTATTAATACCACGCCTATTATTTGTTTTCAGGTTTAATCAAATTGTTATTTCTCCGTACTGAGTGCGTGACAAAACAAACGAGCGACGCAAACAGAAAGGAAATTATGAATTGTCCCAGTGTGAATCATCATTCCGAAAGCCGATACCGTCGCCCATAGTTTCCGGCTAGTATTTCAACTGACCGACGAGTGAGTATCACATCTATCATTCCATATTTGTACTTTAACTCTTGCGCCAGACATCGAGCATTATCGCATCTTGCCCCTATCACCTTCGGTAGCACTTCAAACGAACATAAGTATGCATTTGTGTGGGGAATGTTACATAAAAATGGATTCTTCAAGCAACTCAAATGTATATAAGTATCGGGGCAAATAAGTCGCGATAACGTCAAAAAGACACTTAAAATGAATTGTAACTGCTATTTTGACATCATTTTGATGTCATAATAATTTGTGTTCTGCTTGGGTACGTTTAAAATACAGAGTTTCACACTGATCTTGTTTTATATATATTACTTTCTTCTTTTTTTTCTCTCGTTTAAATATTACGAAAACTATCTCGAGAAAAGAGGAGAGAAAAAGAATGCAGAGGAAGATGCGGAAATATGTGCAGTCATGAAGAACATCTATCATGGAATAAAGAAGTGACGTATCCGGATGTGCTATTCCAATGAAAATCATGATTCACGGTCACATGATCATTAAATCTATCAGTTTCTCGAATTCTTTGTGAGATTTATAGTACAAACGATAACTTATCTTTAAAAGGTCTAAATTTCTTCGAGATAAGAAAGCACAAATAAAAAAAACAAAGTGTTAAAGAAATGGACAACCGATTAAGGTAACGAGCTTTAATGACGACATAATGATTCAATATAGATCGATAATTTTCCAAACATTAAACAAATTTTGTCTAACTGTAACTGATATTACATGTCATGAAATTTTACAACTATTTTAGGTGGATAATAAAACATATAATTACGCAAGGCAATGTTTGTTAGATATCATATCAATCTATTTCAGATATATAACTCATTATGAAACATCTAGAAAGCATTGTATTGATGTGTAAATAACAACGCGTCATGTGAGTTCCACAATGAAACTAGCGAACGCGACAGTTTGCGCACGCTATCAGTAATTATTATTCTCACATCAAAAACACCTGTTTTCGTGTTTTGCCGACGAGAAATTTGTGTTAATGTTTTCTATGCGAATTGAAGCTATTCAATGGAATAAAAATAAGATTCTTTAGGTATGTATGCCTTGTAGCATCGCGCATTCAAAAATTACATACATATTCTTTTTATCAGAATAACATATAATCAGTGTGTAAAGACTCATAATGGAGATAATTCTTGTTTGTTCGTCAGTAACACAGGTCAAAAACCTACCTCGTCGTTACTGTCACGGTTGTCTCTTCCTACGGCTCTTCCTTTTCACGAATCACCGCTCCCGTTTACTAGCAATAAATCCACTATCTAAAATTACAACATTTCGTTTTTTCTTCGTAAGAGTTTCTCTCGAAGCTATAGCTATGCGGGTTCCATATTTATTTCCCGATCATTCATCTAAATTCCGTCCGTGATGTGGGTTCACTATTTCTTTTCATTAACACGTGACTCATTACTCGTGCACTCACTCGCATACATAAATATTATGTACATTATCTGCAAGTTTTCACAATTCGTATTTATTCATGCAAATACGGCGCATTTATACGAATGAATCATAGAAGGTAATAAATACGATGAAGTAGTAATACTTTTTTTATAATTATAAGAATAAACGTTGAATTTTTCTTGTAGATAGAAACATTTGACAATTAATACCGGTAATTTTTCTTGTACGATATACATTGGCCGTTTTTTAATATAAAATTTTAACATCAAAATGTTTTTTTTTCAGATTAAAAACGAGTTTCTATGAGAAATGCGAGCCTAGTACGCGCTGACCGAGAGGATTAATGAGTTAAAGAGACACTTTGCGCGCGCGGCAACGAGCGGAGAAAGATGCGCGCGCGTACTCCAACGCACGTATACATTGATGGACACAGATATACACAAACACAATGAGCGGACTGTAGATTTCACAGTTTGCGAGCACAGGCCTTCTCCTTTCTCCTCGTGGGAGCTCGACGGTTTTGGAGTATATTTTTAGAGTGTTCGAATACTCCGATACTCGATTGCGTTTTACCAAGTCCGAATCTTGATTTTTGTGTATAGAATTGTCGACATTTATATATGTAAAGATAAAGTCGACATGAGAAAGATAAACGATAAGATAAACGGGCTGAGCGTCACGTTCTCGCCCACCCGACGGCACAGCTCGTGCCTTTGCACTGACGCAGCTCCACTCTTCGTAGTCTCCGGTCTCCGTTGCTCATACATCTATCGTTGTTACTCCTCTCGGTGGTGGAAAGAGGTCGGAGAAGGGGAACAGGCCAACGCCATCGACACCAATTGCAACGGCCACCAATGTAACTGCACATGGAATGTGTTATTCATTTTGTAAACTATTCATAAAGTCGTATAATGCAGAACGCGAAAATCCGCTAATTAATTGAATAGGTATAGAAAGTCTCATTCAAAATTAGATATAGAATCCCATACATGTTAAAAATTATATAAAATTATTAAATTTCTTTTTTATGATTTTTATTTATGGTCTGTGAATAATTCATGCTTTTGAATATTTAATTCTATAAGATTAATTATCTTATTTAATAAAGTAAATATAATTTACAGATCCCCAGCGTATACAATATTGCGAATCATTTCAACTGATATTTAACTTAAAAGAAAAAGAACTAATAACTGAACGTGCCACGTAAAGTATAGAAATTTAATAAAATGGTAGACAAGGAGAGATATTGTTCTACGAAGAATATTTTAATGAAACCTTTATTAAGATTTTTATCATGCCAAAGACAAATGACGACTTTGGCTATACAAACAGGTAAACGTTTTCCCGGCGAGAGTCCTCCATGCAGGTGCAAATTATACAAGTATATTGTTATGGAAATTTTAATATTAAAAAACACAATAAAATTGCATAGACAAATTTGATATCACAGAATAACAATACAAAGAAAATGCTTATTTATGTATATGCTTACTAAGTTGTTAAATCATACTTTTACTTATAAAAATATAATTTCTTCTTTTTAAATGGCAACTTATTTTACATTATGACTATATAAGTATCATACTACTTTCTCAATTACGATATTTAATTAGTTGATTTTATTAAATTAATACGATTTTAACATGTAATTGAAATGAAGCATCATCAATTACACCTGCATTATCAAGCGACTTGTGCGCGGGTATCTCTACTATCTTAAATCACAATGGTGACGACAAGTTTAACTATTTCGTTAATTAGTTCCTTAAGATTGATCGTTACATATAAGCAGATACGCACGCACGCACACACGTTTTAGCAGCTGTATACATAAAAACGCGTGATGAAACGATTCGATGACTGCCGATGATGTTCTTGGCGAATATTCAATGACAATATTGCATCACGAATTAAAAAAATAATTAGAATTGTCAATAAATCTTGGGATTTGTAATTATAATAGATGATAATTATAATGAATATTTCTTTTAATTTTAATCAAAATTATCTTTGCTATGGAATGATTAAAAAGGAAATATCAAAACAACCAGGAATAAATAAATAGAAAGATCTATATAATTTTATGAAATTAAAAATATTTACTGCAAGATTATATTTTTGCAAACAACGCGCGGTGATTTCTAGCTGTCTAAGATCATCTGCATTCACTATCGAGAATCACGAGGAAATTATATTCCCGCAGAGCGACTCGCTTTTATTATATAATTCTCCTTACCGTCGTAAGATTAATTTACCACGATCGATTAGAGTTGATCGCGCAAACCCGTAAAGAGTACCTACGTTTTCGGCGTGATGTCGAATGCTTAGGCCATAAAATCGTAAAAAAATATTCAAGCGCGAGTTCGTAGGCGAGTATTTGGTATGGACTGCCTCTGATTTTATTTTCTTTTTTTTATTCGAGGATTCGAGGCAAAAATTGGAACGCGCGTTTACTTTCGTATACTTTGCAGAAAAGAGTGAGATCGCTCGCGGTTTCCAGTCCAATCAGAATCGTGAGTGCGTGCGTTGCGTAACGGCCATGTTTTTTTTTTTCGTTTTTATAAAGAGGAACGATCGACGGAATATCTACTATTATGTTGGAACACAGAGAGACAATCGTTAAACAATGCGATCAGCCCTCAACCGATAACGCAATTTTGCGTAAAATCTTTATGATGGAAACCAGTAAACTATGTGACTCTGTTTCTACACATTTATATATTTTTGAATGTCTATGGAAGATCAAATTACATCATCATAATTAAGTTATTTTCAACTAATTGAGCAGTGATTTCTCGCTTATTTTTTTTAATGAATTGGTCCATGTACAACAAAAATACGTTTTTTGTAATTGAACATTCTTAATTGACATAGAAACCAACGTTTTGCGAAATTTATCGGATAAGGGCTGAAATAAATGACTCACAATCCTCCTCTCTTCGCTTTTATCCAAATTAATAATAGCTTTTTGACACCCCGTACCAATCTATTTTGCAAATAAAAAAATATTTGATTTCTATTAGAAATCCTAATTATATTGATAAATATATTTGTGTGGAGAAAATAATAGCAAATTTTTAAGTTATCAAATTCATGAAATATAGCTTTCAAATCTGTAATATTACAGATTATTACAGTCTTAGCATAGGCGAAGCGTATCAAATTAAAAATTGATATTTTATATATATATTGTAATAAGATTTTAGTAATTAATCCGGTCATGGCGACGGATACGAGGCATCGTGAATCTGCCATGTAATTCGAAATCGTCAAACTACAATAATAGTTCTTCGAAATCGTTCACGACTGTAATATGTGATTCAAGAGCATAGGATAAAGAGACAGTGAGAGAGAGAAAGACAATGACATAGAAAGTTTAAGAGATTAATTCGAGGAAAAAATCTTTAGGCACACTCACACACATACACGTACATTTATATAATTATATATTTGTGTGTATATATTATGCGTAGAGCGCAAGAGTCTTTATTTTTTGGTAAGCAAAACGTGGCTTCGCATTTTTATTCGAATTCCTGCCAGAGTCAGCAAGGGTGACGTGATTTGTTCCTTTTTTAATTCTTTGCGCTTGAACATTATTTACAGAAGAGTAAACTGAAAAAATAATTAAAGATTTGTAAATAAATATCTATAATACTACGCTATAAGACAAATTGTAATACATAATTTATAAAAATATAAAATCATATCAATATATTACTTATATTTTTTCTTGACTATTATTATTGTTAGATAATTGTTAGTGCTCTCGATTTATTACAAAATATCGTTTATTCCCTGTAAAACTTGACACGTAATTTAACTAAAATTTGATACGATAATATTAATAAAAAAAAAAAAGATTGAATTAGCGCAAAGAATTAATCTATAAAAATTACACATCTATTTTTCGTATTAATTCCGATCAGATTTCGACAATGTCGATTTTCTAATCGCTTTGTACTTGCTCAGCCGATCAATATATTGCAGAAAAAATGTCATAATGCGAATATTCAGATCACCCTCGTAACGCCACCACCCTTCAGTACATGGACTCTTAAAATTGCTTATTTTTCTTTGTTCTTCATACGTTTTCGCGCAGTAGTTAGTTAATTATAATGTAATCGTTATGTCATAATTTAATAGCAAATATATTATCACATTTAGATTGTATTAATTTTTAAGATGACCGACCGGACGTCCCTCGACGAAGTTTTCGTCGTCTCGCAACTTTTGTACCGAATAAAAAAGTTTATTAATGCCCAATCATTTTACGATACATCTTTCAGTATTGTTTAGTTTTTTTCTATAACAGGAGTAACGGCAACTATAATCACTTACGAATACAAATAAAAATACTGCGAAGCTCCATTTGGAATGTGTTACTTTCGATAAATGCTACCAGTTTCAAGCAACCGCACTGTCATCAAAAGGTTAATAACTTTGCATTGAAACATTTGACCCTCTCATTCTTTTTATCCTTTCGACGCCATTGATAAAATCTCGCGATGACGTAAACGCTTGCTTTGTTTCGCAGATTCCGACAATGAACTTTGAAGAGAGCACTTCAATTCGCACTTAAAGAGAGCGTGAACGACGGCATTCGTCGTAGACACGTCCGTCCGGTATGTTAGATTTAAATCTAAGAAACATTAATATAGAATATATTATATATCGTGTAGTTTATATAAGGTATACGTTAAGACACTTACTGCTACAGCAAAAATTCAACAGTTAAAAGATTGTAACAACTAGTTCACGCTCACGTCGAACACAGAAGCGGACGATCAGACGGAAATCCCTGCGAAATTTGCGAACTTTTGCGAAAATCGCGATTTTCGGTGAATCTTTGAGAGAAAAAGAAACCTTAGAAGAATAAGTTTCTTAAAAATGATTTAAAAATAATGCCACTAAAACTAAAATTATATCTAAGTTTTGAGATAAAAATGCTCTTAGTACCTAAGGTATTTTTGTTCTCTCTTTCTTTGTAGATTAGATAAATGAAAGATTAGAAAAATAAAGATTCGGTTTGGAATATAAGAAATTGAGTCGCGCGATTTTTCGCAAACGAAGAAATCTGATCGTACGTTTCACATTCGAAGTAGCTTACACCTCTCGCGCGTCTTTCTTCCACAGAACTTCGTTCATCCCCCTATAATTGGGATCACTTTGGCACGAATTAATTTTCTTTTTGTCCATAGTATCGGCACGGCGCCGCTGCTTATCAGTTATGAGCTCGTAATTATAATAATGCGAATAAATCTCGGTAGCACCTGAGACTGATCGCTCGGACGATACGATAAAATGAGGTGTTCTCGTTAGGCGCGCACGCTCATCGGGAAAACTACATTTCCGCAAAACTACTACGAGAAACGTCAAAAAGACGTGTCAGCCGCGCGAAATTTCCCACCGATTTCGCAAATCCTTCGTCTTCGGAACTTTCCTTTTATCCCTATTACATATATAGATTCTTCGCGACGGTTTTCCTGACGTACGACGTACGGAACGCTTTATTCGAGTTGTGCTATGACTTTTGACCGAAATAAAAAATAAATAATTACTCCACAAGTAAATACTAACGGCGGACGGAGCCAGTCACGCTAATTGCGGACGTGTAATTAACAAGAAACTTCCTTCATTATGAATACGTAAATTATGCGCATCGCGACGCACACCGATAAACTATTTCGTGATATAAATATTCTGAATGTGCTAATGCGCTCGACATATCTTCGAAACAACGTGTAGATATGCGCGGAAGAAATAGAAAAAGTAAGTCATCCTCTTCGGTAGTCAAGGTAAAGGCTTTGTGTAAAATCATGCATATAAAAAGTCGCATTAAGAAACCCGTTGTTGTACCGTTAAGTATCGTACGATAAATGCGATTTTACAAATGTAAAATATACATATATCAAAAACAAACTAGCACATAAAGTTATACCGGCGTGTATAACTCATGATTTTCGGCATAGTCGAGTGAATTACGCGCATATCCGGTAATACAAATTATGTTAAACAGTTAAACCATTTGCTTTCGGATGAACGGGCCTACATCATTACGTAATCCGGAATAAATGTTTTTTTTTTTTTACCAACTTCCACGCATAATCGTAATCATCTTGGCTACTATAGTAGTCATCCGTATACCTAAAAGATAAAATATAATTTAATATTTAATATATATATATATAATTATGTAATATAATTAATTAAAATCTAAATCACATTCGCTCGTAATTGTGGCTTATTTCAAAATTTATGCTACTTGGCACGGAATGAGTGCTACGTTACTCGCGGTATTTCTAGCGAAGATAATACTGACAATGATAATGTGTAATGAGTTGAAAAAATTCACTCGCAGTAACAAGTCCAGTTTGGAAAAAAAAAACTTACTTAATATTCGACAAATGCAATGTGTTTGAAGCGTTAAAATGTGCCGGGGAAGTGAAACTTTATGCCGAGCAGCTTCGATTTTGCATCATCGTATACCTTGTAGTTTAGCATAGTGTTGTATAGTAATGGCTATAGTGTCTATGTAATAGAACGATATTCTTCGCAAGAATGTCATTCTCGATGAGACGACAAATCATCGTGGCGTGATGCACGTATCCTCTCGTGTCACTTCACGTGAGTCGCCGTTAAAAATCGTTTATCGACTACAACGTATTTATATAATACATTAAAAATTGACACATATTTCTGTTACAATCAATCTCATTCGCTTTCTCTCCCCTGACACGAGCAATCGATCGTCGGGAATGGTCTTGGATCCTAAAGAGAGAAACACTTATGAGAGACACTTGTATCGATAGCGAACAGATGTATCCAACGAGCTTGAATTTTGCAGAAAATTACAATTATACTCTTTTCTTTTTTTAAATATAATATACATTATATAGAGCGAATATAGAAATTTAATATAATTTAAAGATATATAATGGGAAATGTGACTACAGTGATACAAGAGTTCTATGGAGATGCCTTGAATCATCATCTGCAAAATAAAACACGTTAGGCTTCATCTCGCGTTATACGATACACTGTCTATCATTATAATGCTTGCATAATCATAATAGTATATTGTTCTTTTATTATCATATTATTAGTCCGTAATAGTACCAATGAAAATTCGATAATGGCAACTCAAGCAACGATAATAAGTTCATGTTAAGTACTTAACAATTATACTTGACAATTCGTGCAGCGCGAGCGAACTATACATATATTAGACACGTAACGTTAAAATGATCTTCGTAAAATAGCACCTTTCCATCCCGGCCGGAGTCCTCGCGACATGTCGTGTCGTGACCCGATGCTTTTATTGATCTCATTAACCGTTGGCCTGATTCGATCGAGTCTCGTGCATCCGCCTCGATATACACGCAAGTATCACGAGCTCTTGCTCGATTCTGTTCAACTGCATAAATATTGATCGTTGTTTGCTCGTATATGATATTAAAAATAAAATTTTCATCTCGGATTTGAATAATTAAGTCATAAGCTTCAAACAAGTATTGACACAAAATAAAATTAAGATTATAGATAAACTTGAATAATTAAAATTGCAGTAAATTCTACAAAAATTAATTTTAAAGACAGCAATAATAATTGATGACCAATAGTTAATGAGACAATAAAGAGTCACGTTTAAAACGAGAATCTCCGGAACAGTACAGAGTTGCAGTCAAGAGATGGACGTCACATCGCGCCGTGAATTCGTTTCTACTTTCAGTCTTTCTCCGCGAGCCAATCTACGATTCTAGCACCATTTTGCAGCTTTCCCCGTTCGTCGTCAACAATCGACGCAAACGATTGTTAGATCGTCATCGAATCGACGTAATGTAACACTTGGACGTTTACATAGCTAATACAAGATCTCGTTAGAATTTAAAGGTTACATTAAATTATCGATGTTAAATTATCGCATGCAATAATCTATACGATTCCTAACGTCTAAGGAAGGAAGTCTTGTCGATGCTGATTTGGGAAACAATTCATTCCGAAATTTGTTCTTGCCGAATAAACTTCATTTTTTTATATGATTTCTATCAATATCAATTTCGTAAATTATTTTTAATCTCTGTTTCTAGCTTATCTTTTAAATTGCTTTTTTCATGAAATTATGAATAATTCTCAATTTTTCTTAAAATTAGATTTAATTTTCACTTGATTGCAATTCTCCTTCGTTTGTCTGCCAAGTTCAGCACTTGTGTACAAGTCTCCCTGTAAATTCTAATATATCTAGATCGCAGTATTGACAAAACGAGGACGTATAAAGGACAGGCGAGTCCCAGATTTCTGTTTCCGCAGGTCTCTCAGGGCCGTTGCTCCTTTTCTTTGTTTATCAAGAGCGTTTTCGCTAGTTGGTCGCGTCCGGATTTGAAGACGGCGAGGATGCCGGGCTCTGCACCAGATCGACGTCAGTATTGTCCCTCGAGGAGGCCAACAGCGAGGGAGTTATCAGCATGCCGCGTGGACTGAAGGTGTCGCAATAGAGGTTCTCCTTTTTGTGTACTCGTCGTACGTGGCTGCGTAGATTGTCACGACGTGCGCTGCGATAGGCGCAGTGCGGGCACAAATGTGGCTTTTCACCCGTGTGCATGCGACGATGCTGTATCAGCTGTAAGTATCAGAAATATACGTACAATTAACATTGTCAATTTTCTTAATTTTCGTCTTCATATATACCTACTCTAAATTTTTTGAAGTGGAATCTCACTTTAAAGAATAAAAAAATTGAACCAGTCTTGAAAAAGTATAACTCCATTTTCAATCTCTAAGAGTGAGATTCATTCTAAAAGTTTTAGAGAAGAGGGATATGTATAATCGAGATCTTTATGATAAAAACAAATAATCTTTCAAATACCTTCTTCAATTGCACCGTGCGAAAGATGCAAATATCGCAGCAGAAATATCGATCATCGCGATGCCTTCGCATATGTCTGCTGAGATCTACCTCGGATGATCGGTCGGCACCACAGACGGCGCAGCTCACCCTAGTCTCCGGCGCGGAGCCTCTCGCGTGCGCTCGTAAATGTCTTTGAAATGCCTTCTCGATCGTGCATGCGTACGAGCACAGTGAGCACCGATATTCCTCCCTCTCGTACCTGAGAACATTCCGAAATAGCTAACAAAAAACGTGATAATATAAAAAAAAAAAGAAATATTTTTCTATTTTATTCCATTTATTATTTGATAAAAGTTTTATAAAAAAATAATAATAATAAAAGATTTGAGGAATCTTTATTTTTGATAGAACATAGATATAATTAGATATAATTAGATATAATATAAAATTGTTCGAGTACCTATACCTGACGCGTTGCAAGGCCAACGAACGTTTCTTCCCCGTAGGCGTCATTCCTTGAGCTACATGTGCCGCTACGTGGGTTTCCATCTCGCACCTACTAGTCGACGTGAAGTCACAACCTATGTTCGGACACCTCTTGGTTTCCCCGGTCTCCGTACCAGACAGAGCGGGATGGCAATCAGCTATGTGTTTCCTTAGGGCCGGTCTCGTAGGTGCCACTACGTCGCAGGAGCCGCACGAGTAGCCATGATGAACGCTGTTTATGTTCGGACTGCTGCCTCTCGATCTTAAACCGTAATATTGTCAATATTGATGATAATGCCCTACAATGTCCCACAATGATCTCTGTTACTTGGTTTAATCGAGTTTAATTAATATAATCGTAATTATAATCGTAGCTGTTCTTCGGAAGAATGAAACGACTATGATTGGCCAACTTCATAACTACGGATGTTATTAAACCCGATTAAAGATGCCATATAAATGTAATCGTCGTATATCTTAATATCAATAGTAAATTTTATGAACTTTAAGTTGTCTTTCTTAGAGAAAATGATTTTTAAGAAAGACAAAGTATTATAATTATAGTTTGATGTGCTAAATTCTACGTACTTTTCAGTGTAGGATGAGTGCTCGCTCTCGGAATCACTGTCGGAAGGAATATTGGGAACTTCCGTTGCTTCTAAAGCCGCAGTAGCGGCAGATAGTCTACCCAGCATCGCTGTGTAAGCACCCAGTACCCAACCGTTCAAAACAGGTGTCACCGTTCCTTCCTGAATATTAATGGTAAAATAAAAATTAAATAAAGTTCGTGTAAGCTTAAACAACTAAAAAATAAAATCAATAAACTATATATGAAGTTTACTAGCTTCTTTTACTGTTGACTTTGTATAATCAGACGTTTCAATTGACTTACAATTAGTTGTCTTCAGATATCTTTATAACGTAACAATAAAATCGATTGGACTACATCATAAAACTATTAGATTAATTGGAATTAATAATTAAGTACAATCGAATAATTAAAAACCACTTAAGAGGCCACGTTATAAAATTAACTGCATTATAATAAGTATAAAAATGTATAATGTTCGGCTTCAGTCAAATAAAGAGAAAAAAGAAAGGATGAATATGATTGTTCGTTTATTGATTTTATTGTAGTTGATTAATGATAAAATATTAATATAGAATATAATATCAACTAAAAAATCCATGTATAATTATATTATGTTAAAAAATTATCAATGAATCCGGTTTCAGGTACATGCCAAGTAATTAAATTCATCGAAAAATATATAACACAGACCGACTTGTCGAGGGCCAGGCATGACATCGGATCGGGAAGCTTTGCGATTGATAGATTGTTGTTTGCCGATTGATGTGAACTGTTCGTGCTACCAGTATCGCTCTCGTCACCGACATCTTCGTTGTCATTATTTTCGTTTGGCACACAAGTCTGATTGATACATGTAAAAAATAAGATACCCTGTGTTTGTATTTATAATTAAAAGTTTTAAGTTATACCTCTATACTTTGACAAGAGATTTTACAATAACTTAATTCAAAATCATTTATCAATATTTTAAAATTATAAATTATTTTTATATTACATAACACTTCTTTTTTTGTCCAGTAGAGATAAAAAAAATTAATTTAAAGAATTATTAGCTATTTAAGAGATATCAATTTAATATTGTGTTATACAATAATGAGATGATCTTACCTGATTTTCGTTTTGATCAGCCTTTTCGATGTTACCTTCGTTGTCGTCGCGCTGAGGATCTTCATCTTCGCCGTTCGTGCTCTTCTCCCCATCCTCAGCGTCTTCGGCATTGGTGGACGCGACCGAGGCTGGTTTCGTGACCAGTTCCATCGGGACGTAAGGTGGCCCCGCCGCCGTTAACGGCAGTGGCAGCATGTCGGGCCGGTGCAGTGCGCTCAGGGCGAACGCGGCCCTTGGCAGGATCTGCGTCGCGCCGGAAGGCAGAATCGGATGCCTTCGGGCGAGACGCGGGTCACCCCAAAGTTCACCCGCGACGTGAAGACTCCAGATCCCATATTCCATCTAGAATGTGCGTTACGATCGTTCATTGATGGGATCCACGAAATCGGTTCAACGGAAAATTGCATCTAAATCTGATTGCAGTGAGTAAAAAAGGTATTCGCACACAAACACGTACATTGCTTTGAGAAAATATGAATTGAGATAATATGACGATACGAAAAAGAATGTTGTTATATAAAGTATTTTAACTAATACGCACATAAAAAGCATGCTTTATGATAAAAGTATGCAGCAATATATCTTTTTTCGGATAGAATAACTTCCAAAAAAGATGAGAAAAGTGCAAATACTATTTTTATTCACTATACACTGTATAAATGTGTCTTTTAGATAAAATTGATGAATCGCTACATCGAGAGTTTGTGATTAAAATGAAATAAGTTCGTCTTTTGAGATTCATTTTTTTAAATATATAATCTGTTATAGAAAATATAAATCTGATATCTAAGTCTTTAACTTTTTCCCTAGTACTTGGTATATTTATGAAATCGGTAATGTCAGCTATCACGTGCAGACGATTCGAATATAAAATTAGAAATATATTCTGAACCTAATAAAGATTGAATCACTTGGAAATGGTGCTCGAGTGCTCATTATGTTTGTATGGATTGCACGGTATAAAAAGGGTGAAGGGTAGGGAGCGAGAAGAGAGAGAGAGATTAGTGGTGGCCCTCGAATCAATACTTACGTGCAATTTTCAAGCGAACCGAGTATTTGTTACTTATATATATCAAATCATTTTATTTATACCTAATGCTTTTTATCAAATCGCGTGCATTTAATTAAATCGTTAGGAAATGTTTAACCGTATACCAATCAATGTGCATCAATTAAGCTTATTTGCAAGTAATGTATGATGATCACTTTGTCAACATATTTCTTTAAATATGTGCTTTTCGTATTTTTTTAGTTATTCTGTCGAGTGTCACCGTAAAGGATACATCAAGAAATATGTCAAGAGGAGTTGGGCAATAGAGTATCGGCAGTAATTCGATCTCGAGTTACGAGGTCAAACGTTTCGAAGCGTGCTCGAAAATGGAGATAACGATGCGGGAGAAAAGTGTCATGCGAAAGATTATCTCTCTAAAATTCTCTTCCTCCTCAGAAACTCAATTTTCCTCTCTTAGGACCCTTCCGAAAATGATCCTTGAACGCGAGTCGGAATGTTCCGTACCTCTCTCTCGTTCTAAAATATTTCATATCGTTCTTTGTGTCGCGTTTGAGATGCTATAATTACATTTTCGCAAAGTTGTTTCCATGCGGATCCATACTACTCAAATCGTCAGAATAACTCAATGTTTCATCTCTATTTCTTCAAATATGAAACTCGCGGATTTATATGTTCTTCATCTCGTGGATCGTTTTATTCGTAGTCATCAAAAGCTATGTCTATCCTGATAAAATGAGGGTAAAGATGAAGTTCTTACAACATATCGATTGGAAGAAGGAAGATTTTACAAAAGGAGCATCGAAGTATCCGATGTATTGAAATAGGGAACTCTTTTACGATTATTTCTAACTTTCGTCTCCCTCCAAATTTCGAGTTAGGCAAACGAAGACATCTAGTCCACGTGTGTTCACCAAAGATTTAGTGATTAGAACCATCTAGATCTCTCTAGATCAGATCAAAGCGTTAAATTCTGACAGGAAATCGACTATTCGTCCATTCTATCCTCAGTCCCTATCTATCCTGTGAGCGACTTTTTGTATTATTCATAAATTAAATTTCTCCACATTAAAATCTTTTTACATGTACATAATATAGCATCTCGAGGGTGCAGCAATAAGATAGATGACTCTGATCCGTTAATATAATTTTTCAGTTATTCAAAAAATGGAGAAGAAGGTGAAGGTGAAAGCTGAAATGAGCCGCAAGTGCCGTGATGCCGTAAGACGTAAGAGATTGGCAAAAAAGGTGGCGTCTCACAAAAGAGGAGGACGGTCGCGCGAAAATCGCAAGGAGGTTCCCCCTTCTCTTGGATAGGAGGGGCGCCCCTATGGTGGCCTACCGCAACAATTCGGGCCGATCGTCATTACGCTGGAATCATCCCCCGTTAGTGCTCCCTCTCGTCGCCGCAAAGCCGGGCCGATCTCCACCTTACCGATCGAATGATGAAAGTTCACGCTCGTAGCGGCTCAACATCGCCTCCCACGCTACACTCATGACGATTACGTTGACGATGTAAAAGACGAAGACGAAGACGAAGATGAAGACGATGAGATGACGATGACGATGGGGATAACGATAACGCGAAAAAAGATGTGACGACGAAATTCGCGAGTACCGGAGACGAGAAGAAACCCCGTAAACCGGGTCCGGATACGTGCCGCTGTAGAGCGAACGAACTCGCGAGATTCCTGACCATTGGACCGACCCTCGTGCATGCATACTTTAGCATAACGGGGGGACGGGGGTAGGAGGAGGAGGAGTAGTACCGCCGAGGGGAGGACAGGACGGTTCCTCCTCGTCATCCCACCCCCTCCCCCGGCGGCTTCGCCCTTTCTCTCTTTCTCTCTCACACGCGCGTGCCCTCTCCCTTGCATCGTGCCGGGGGCCTCAGCATTCGTCCTACCCCTCGCGCTGACCCCTTCCGCCCTCCTCCTCGTCCCCATCGTTGCCGCGAATCGATTTGTTATTGTTTTTGTGTCTGCGGTCGTCGCGGCGGATGGAGCGGGGTTATATCGAGGGGTGGATGGGCGAATGGTGAATGGGGGTGGGGTTGCCGGTGCCGGTGGTGCTGCTGCTGCTTCTGCTGGTACGGCTACGGCTGATGCTGATGCTGATGGTGCTGCTGCTGCTGCTGCCGTTGCTGTTGGTGGTGGTAGTAGTGATGGTGGTGGTAGTGGTGGTCGCGCTCGAGCTTCGAAGCCTCGGCTTCGGTTTTCGGGCCGGCAGAGAGGCGACCAGGGTGAATAAGCTGCTGCTGCTGCTGCTGCTAGGAAGGGTGGAAAGGGGAGGCGGGAGAGAATCGCAAGGGAACTCATGAAGGGAGAAAGAGGGAGAGAGAGAAAAGGGATAGATACGCGCGATTCCGATCAGTGGCGTAGCCAGCGTGGGACAGGAAAAATCGAAAAATCTCAACCACTGTACGTGCGGAATTGCGCTGGAAACTTTACCCCATCCCTTAATTGCTCCTGCTTAAAACTATCGCTCGGCTAAGCGATGAGAGATGGTACTCGTCGAGTGTGATGTGACTCCTACATTGAGGAATCCGAGACCGACCGCGAAAAAAAGGGTTGAGATCACGCCATTGGGATAGCCGCGGAAAAGAGATGAAACGAGAGAGGGTTGAGAGGATGGAAGCTGGTACAATGAGGAGGAGGAAACGAGCGAGGGTGGGTGCGGAAGAAGGGAGAAAATCCCTGCGAGGGAAAGGGCGAGGAGAGAAGTTAGGAGAGGAGGAAGAGAAGGAGGAGGAGGGCGATCGCGTGGGTTAAATCGAGAGGGGACTCTACTCTGCGCGAGGATGGAAATGGGAGGGAGGGGAACAGCGCGGATCGGATTGCATCCGCGGGTTGCATCGGGGGGTGGTGACAGAGATAGTTGGAGAAAGAGCAAGAGGGGAATAGGAGGATGAAGGAAGGGAGAGAAAAGGGAAGAGCAAGAGGGTAATGGTGGTAGCAGGGTGAAGGAGGAGGGACACGTCGGCATCGGCTTGACAGGTGACAACCGATCGGACCACTGACGTCACAGATCACTTGGCCGAGCGAACGCGCGCGCGCGCGCGCGCGTCGCATGCACGCAACACGCACAGACACGACTATCCGCGAATCTCAGCGGCTACGCGACGTGGCGTAAGGTCGGGGAGTCGTGTCTCACACTCGCATACACCACTGTGCACCGTCGACAGTCGACACACGTCACGTTCGGCACGTCACGCCGCGTGAGAGAGAAAAAGAAAAAAAAGGGTAATTCTCTATGGGGTGACGAGAAAAAGAGAGAAAGAGAGAGAGAAAGAGATAAAGAGAGACGTGTAGCGAAGCAAGACGAGAGATCGCGGAGACGGTAATAAGGAGAGAAGGCGGGAACGTGAATATCTGTTAATGTGGAGACCAAGAAAGGGACTTTCGGATGCGGATGACGTCCGCGTGTAATCGTCAGGATTTTTCGCGTGACGCGAATACCCCCGTTTCCACGATGTACGACTTGAATTTTTGGTATTTACCGGGTGTTAACGCCGGCCGATGGTCCCCGCGCGCGGCGCCTTTCTATCTGGTTACCATTACACTCGGATGTATGAAATGCGCCACGGGCATACAACCATCCCCCCACAATAGCCCTATTTATGATTGGGCAAAATTGCTTTCCATGCGCAGAATAAAATCTCGCGCGCGGGTCCAGGAAAAATCCGCGGGGCGCCGCGACGGGAGGCCGCGCCGCCGCTCCTCACGGCTCGCGATCGCGCGCCGCGTTTCCCCGAATGCGGAGAACCCTCGCTGGAGAAACGCGGACGGTATCGCCGTACGCGGCCGACGCGCCTGTCGCACGCATCCCGCCGTGCGACCCATCATCCTTTTCCCTCAATTTTTCTCCGCGGTTCCCACGCAGCCGATAAATACGTCAGAAATTAAACGCGGTCCGCCGTAGTCGCGCGCATCCGCGGCGCTGCGATGGCCGCCCGGCTCGGCCAATCACCGTTCAGCGTGCCGAGTAGTTCTAGAAAGCGCCGCGACCAGCTACGGCGCGGCGTGACGGTCAGCGTGATGACCCAAATAAGGTTAAGTCGTGACATTTCTCTGTAGTTTCTACATAATTTCGAGTTTCCGTCTCGACTTCTTTATCTGGATTTTCCTTGTTGTTGCTTATCTTCAAATCTTTGTCAATCTTGATCTTATTCCGTAAGATTACGTTGTGATGTAATTTATTTAAGGACCACGTACTCCATTGATTACAAACATAATCTAATTATCACTGATCCATCGAACAAGTGTGATACTTAATTATTCTTACCTCAAATCAAAACAAAGAGGTGATGCGAATTTAATTTAATAGTTATTAATTATTTCTTACGAGGCGCATTATCATCAGATTGATAGGTTAAGTTAGGTTATAGATGACAAATTGGGTAGAAGATATTTAACATAGAGTTTTTAATGATATGCACGTTACATTACAATTAAATCTGTATCTGAATAATTATGTAACGAGAAATTCAATAATACAATATCGGAACTAGTGGACACCATAATCGATTGTCCAGGTCAGTTCCGACTGCGAGCTCCCCCTTCCTTTCGTCTGTCCCTTTCGGATGTAGCCCAGCTGGCTCGCGTTTACTCTTTCTCACAGTCTTTTCATTCGAAACAGCTCCGGTTTCCGAAGTCGTATCAGCTGATGGTACTTGGTTTTACACCCTACACGCTGTAATTCTAACGGAGAATATTCGTCGTGCAATCACATTTGAATTTCGTTCGTTTTCACGTGCGCATCTCAGGCGTCCCGTCCACGTCGAACGTCAAATCCTGTCCGCGAAGCGGACGAGCGGTGCGAGCGACATGCGGATTCCAGTTTCCAGATCGCTGTGGAGTGTGGAGCGCCGCCGATAGCTGATAGGTTGGCAACTATCAGATCAGTCGCGCATCCGCAACGGCAACCGATACTGCACGCCGCTGACGGCGGGGTCTCTGCGCGTCTAGTCTCGCAGTCGCGACTCGCGGGGTCAAACCAAGCCAGTTGGCAACAGACCATCGAGCGGGTCGCTTGCGCCAGTCGACGGCTGACGGCCGCGTTCTCTGTTCTTCCCCTACCTCGTCTCCGCATTCGCAACTCGGCTGCTCCGTGTGTTTGCGAGCCGAGCGTTTTCTCATCTGGCGTTTCGCGTGTCGCAGTCTCGTAGCGGTTGTCGCGACAGTCGAGTCGAGTAGCGCGTCCCTCTGCGTGGAGGAGAAAGAGATCGGCTGTCATTGTTGTCATCATCCACGCGACGCTGCGTCGACGGTCGGCTGCCATGGGGCCCGTCGACGGGATCATTTGACCCATGGGAACGACTCCAGGCTCGTCGGTGGGATCGTGAGCAGACTCGCGTGAGCGCTACGAATCGGTAAACGAGTTTGAACAAATTTTTCCATTGTCATTGTCATCGTCATCGTCTTTGTTGTCCTCGTTACCGTTGTCATTGTCGTCGTCGCCGTGCTTGTGCGATTCTCCCATCTGTTCTCTCTCTCTCTCTCTCTCTCTCTCTCTCTCTCTCTCGCGTGTACGTGTGACAGCGCGCTCGTTGTTTCACCCATTCGTCCTCATTCCCGTTCCACGACACGAGCGAGGGCGCTCTCCTAAGAGAAAGCGTTTCCTCGCGAAATCGTCGTTGATTACCCTCGGACGCGATCGCGTTTAACGCAACTGCATCGCTCCGAGAAGCCGTATTCGTGACGTGAGATTGACGCGAAGAACTTTGACGTGCGAGTGCCTCGATCAAGGCTGAGACGTTCCACTGCAGGCACACCAGTCGACGTATCGTTCGCGGAATTTATGCCAATCAACACGTTCCTTCTCTCTCGCGTCACTTCCCGTACGACGGATTTCGTCATTCGAATCAGGAAAATTTGTCCAACGATACTCTCTTAAACTCTTTCAAATTCAAAGCGTACACGTGTCTTTTTTTTTTTCCTTCATTCGCTCCGAGGAGTTTAAAAGCTCCGAGAGATAATCTACACGAAAGACTTTCTCTTTGAATTCCGTTCCTCTCGATGATCTTTTCTAAAGACTTTATTATCTTGATTTATTAATTGATGCAAAGAAAAAAGTAATCATGTATTTCTCGCAATGTCTAACAAATACAAACGTAGCGTTGAGTTCCTATCCAGTCCACGGCGTCGTGTTCCAGCTGTTCGTGACAGTAGGTGGGGGTACCTTTGTCCGCTCGTCGCTCTATCCTGACGGCTGATTGTTATTTGTCCCCTCGGCAGTGCCCTCCTCCGGCTTTGGTTTCTCTACTGGATTTCATATAACGAATAGAGAAATGAACGAGAGAGAGAGAGAGAGAGAGAGAGAGAGAGAGAGAGAGAGAGAGAGAATGTATTTTAACCCTTCCACCCTTATGATAGTACTTTTCTAGCGTGAGAAGAATATGAAATGTACTTGCATCAACGACTCCAATACTTATACTTCGATTCTTTTTTGTGTTACGTTTAGAATTGAATTTAGTAGAGGCTTTTGAAGAACTAGAACATTTGTATACCGATCAAACAAAGCTTTGTTCGTTACTTCCCTTTTGTAATGGAATTTTCCAAACGGCCCTTGTATGCTTCTCGCTGATGTAAAAGGAATAATTGGTATCCAGAATAAATTTTGCAAGTGTTTCAAGTTGATTTTGTTTGCTGACACCTGAAAATTAATTAACGTAAACCTGTTCCTCTTCTCGGGTGTCTTTACGTCATATCGTGTTTACGTAGATTCGAGGAATTATTTGAAAAACAAGATTTGATTAAATAAGTATTCAAAAAAATAAATTTATTCTGAATACAATTTGATTAAATAATTCATAATATGGGCGGTTTATTTTGATCGATTTGAAATCGAGTTTTTGGGATATGATAAAGAATTGCGCTTTGATAAAATTAACGTACATTCGAGACGATATTTTACGAAGCATGTTAAATATTAAATGATCTAGTTTAAATTCCTCTCAAGTTAAATGACATGTTATTTTCATTTCCGTGTGTGTTAAAATGTATTATTCTAATACTAAATGTGTGGTTAAAAAAAACAACCATATCTAATCAATCCATTTCTTTGTTCAAATTGCTGTTTTCAAGATAAATAATATTTAAATTTATCTTGATGTATGTGCTTAGTAAATAATAAATTAATAGGTTTCTTCAGTTAAATTGTTTAACTCCATTGAGTACAGAAGCATTGTGACAATCTATAGGAATAATAACTCCAAACCTTAGACACAATTTGACATTATACATTTAACAGTGTGTATATTGTAACCGACTATAGGATAACGGAAAAAGTCTGCTTTATTTATTCGTGTTATAAATAAACGAAATGATACCTTCTAAACATTTATTATGTAAGAGAGCAAAATATTGCGATTTTAAGCTTAGAATTTTTAAACGTATACATCAATTGATCTCTTTGTTTTCGACATGCCATAGCCAAATGGAAAAAGTCAAATTGCAATCGTTTACTGAGCTGTTTGATAAATAAATTGCAACTCGGGAGCTCGCTGCGAGGTCCAGCCAAGTGCGTTTATGCCTCTTGAGCTTTTATGGCTACACAGTCGAAGAGAAATGTGCATCTTTTTCTCTCCCCCGGAGCGAATCGTGTCAAAACAACGGGGGCGTCGTCTCAGCCGTTCATTGAACCCAGCTGTTTTGGATGTCTACCCAAAAAAAAATTCAAGGTGACGCCCGCGGTGCACGGTCGGTTCGGCTTCTCCCGATCGTTCTTCACTCAAGGTGGAGTGTCGGCCTCACGAAAGGGAGAAGAGGATTCGGCAGGATCGAGTGCAAGATGAGATCCGTTATAGTCTTGCCGCTTTTAAGTCTGGATTGTCTTCAGCTTTAAAAAATAAATTTGCGTATATCGAATTATTATCTCGCTTCGTACGTTCGAGAGATATCAGATGTTATGTAAACATTCGAAAATTCACATACGTCTCTGCGTGGAGCCGAAAGTGCAAAGTTATGCGTGAATAATGTATCACCAGCAATTTTATAGCTTTATAACTGTATAGCTGTACATCGAGAAAAAATGTATACTAAATCAAGGTTGTCACAAAACTGAAAATCAGAGAAATTAGGAAAAAGTTCAGGGATTTTTGTAAAATTGTCTGGTAATTAAATTCTTGGCTTTAGAGAAGTTTAATACACTGTACATTACACCTATGCAATTTTGGATTACTAACTTAATAATTAAATGCAAGCAGTATTAGCAATATTAATAGTAATTAACATTGCTATGTTAAATTGCTCACTTAATAAAGTATTAGACGGTTTTCAATTCAGAATAAAAATACAAAAAATTTTTAAATATTATTGAAAGCATCAAGAAAAATCACGAAAATTTTATTTGGAAATCGGGGAAAAGTTATAGAATTTTCGGATGAGGAATTTGTGACAACCCTGTAATTTTAATAAATATTTAAATAACGTCAACTAAACGTTTACTTACAGTATCTAAATATTTATTTAATAGAAAGAAATAATAATTAAATCAAATTATTGGTTCTTGTACAAATAGATAGATACATTTTTTATTTAAATATTTATATTTAATAAATATTTAGTTGACATTATTGAAATAAATTATTAAAACTCAGTATATTTTTTCGTGTATAAATATATGGATGCGAATACATTTAACTTCAACTGGCGCTACTGATTTCGTTTGTAAATTCTGATTGATAGTCAACGTGTCTTTTTGCTCAATTAACGTTATTCTACCTTGATGTATTCCGCTGAATGAACAAACGCGACAGAATTCTTACTATAGGTAAGGCGTACCACTTTCTGCTTAGGAGGGCCTTTCTGAAGCGTCGATAAAAGTAATGGTTGGTTCTCAGGGCGTTGAAGAAAAAAAAAAGTGTCACGCGAGGTCTCGCGCGTGTCCACGTGAGTTAAAATTGCGGATCGGCCTTGGTAGCGAGTGCCTATAAATACGAGGTTCGCTTATAGGCGATCCGCGGCCTGAAGGTGCAGCGCGTTGCACCGTCGCGTCGTCGTCGTTGTCGTCGTTGTCGTTGTCGTCCCTCGACAAGGCTGCACGCGCTAGGAAACGCGCTCCCTGTCTCTCTCTCTCTCTTGTCCTCTGTCTTTTATACATTACGTAAGGCCCCGCGATATCAGGAGACACGTGGTAGCGAACAGAAATATACACGTATTAGATATTCCAAAAGCACTCCCTCAAAAAACACTGGCCTCCTTTCGCGGTGCCTATTGCTTTCACTATGGACCACTTGGCAACTTTGAGTTTTCATGAAAACACACATATCGGAGCATTTGTAATTGTCGAATAATTGTGCCGAGTGCAAATGCGGAAGTCTTTGCCTGGCAAGCGAAATTCTGAAAAGAACGAAGAAGAACGTTGATAGATTTCAAGTATAACATTTAACTGTGTAAAGAGAGAAAGAGATGCTGTGCAATGTGAAATATTGAAGAGATACGATTGCTCGTACAACGCCTTTGGCGTTGTTGCTAAGGAGCAATCGAATCGACACTGTCGAGAGAACACTCGATCAATTCTAGGACTTTGCAGATTAGATAATTCAACTATAGATCATTACCGTTCTCCTTTGTAATTCTGCAGTAGATTTCATGACTCCGATAAGTAGTAAGAGATCCGCCGGAGAGCTTTTTGCGAAAGGCAATTTGTTGATTTAAGGCGACGTGAATATTTCTGTTGTCGGCCGAATATATAATATCGTATATATAATCGTCGCATCATCGAAATGCATACAATTACTTTCGTAGTCGTGCTGCGCACTCTGCGCACGTAGGCATATGTTACCACGCGCAGTCATGAAATTACAGTAGTGTTGGTTGCATAATATACAGGTAACCTAGATCTGCACCCACTGCTTCCCACCAGTTGACCTCGTTACCCTCCCTGGTCTCGATTTGCCCTGCCTTCACAGGCAGAAACCTTTATTCGAAGCCGAAGATGTTCTCCACATCTCGACGAGCCGTCCGCGAGCTTAATCAGGAAAGATAGTAGGATCTGAAACACAAAGAAGGAATGTTTAATCTTTTTAGTACGTGACGTAAAGCTTAAGATAGGAGTAAATGCAGAATAAAATCTATGTATCTTCTTGTACTCGTTAATGTAAAATTTATGTTCAATACAGCTGATTTTGTATGAAAAGCAATGTTTCACGGAAGGTGAATTGTCTTATAAATATACCATCTAGCTGTTCTTACGAAAGAAATCAGATCAATGATTCCTTTCTCTCCCCCGAACATCGAAACTCGCTTTCACCAGTGCACTAGTGTTTTGTTTTTATTAAGTCGCTGCATTGCTAAACAGTCGGAATCAACAATGTTTATTTCAAGTTTCGTGTTCAAATTCAACACGTCACTTACATACGCGTATTTATATTACGGATGCCGTATATCGTTGTAATTTTTTATTAAATAAAGCTACTCGAGCCAATATGAATCTGCATTTTGTAATCTTGTAATATTCCTGAATATTTTAGATCTTTCGCAAACGAGTCTTGTGTTTTATTCAATTTTTACCATCGTCTCATTTTCCATTTTTGCGATAATAACATTACCCTCGGTAATCCTCAAGAGAATTTCATTTGGAATTCTAAAACCTTGCAGGTTTCAAGAAAAATTACTATCATTATCACAAAAGATTTGTCTTTCTGACAATCGGGACATAGATTCGTCCGGAAACTGTGCTCCCCCTTACTTGGGCCAGTCGACCCAGTTTCGAGCTCTCGTGTGCTCGTAAAATGCAGAACGCCCGGTAGATAGGCGCTCTGGATTTTTTTTAGGTGACCTAGCTGAAAGACATCGATTTTACTTGAATTCCGTAAGCAGGAAACTGGCCGTAGAACGCAGCTGTGAACAAATACGATTAATTGACTACCGCATGCGTAGATATTAAAGCTAAAGGTCAAGCCAACGGCGATTAATACATTTTTCTTACATGGAGACCTTCTTTCGCGTATTACTTCATGAAAACGTTGATCTTGAAAATATCACGAGCCATTACAAATCCAACTGTTTAATCTGTAAAATCTGTTTGAAACATTTTTTAACGTTCTCATCTTGTAATATAATATCGAAGATCAAAATTTAGGAAACGCTATAATGACAAAGTTTTTTTTTATATCTTCAAGGGTTAAATGTGCGCGCCGCGAATACGCACGATATTCTTGTCGATAGTGCAGTTTATTTCTGGGCAGTCTTGAAAGCGTTCCTTTGCCAGTCGAAGAACGGACAAGATCGACGTAGACGCCGCGTGTTACTTCAAGCAAAACCTAACACACTTGGTTTCTTTTCTATCGAAAGGTAGAAAAAAATTAAATTAATATAAATCTTGCGAGCTCAAATAATCGAAAAGGAATTTCATATACACGTCGTAACGTACTTGCAACAGAAAGTCGTATCTCTTTGTCGCGTTCTCTATTTTTTTTTTTCAAACTTTGTATTTTACCCTTTATTCATTCAGGCAGACCAGGGAGAAATAAATGAAGATGACAGGATGATTATGTATGACGTGTCTTCGTATAAAGCCGAGAGAACCTTTAACGCCTTCGTTATCCGCATCTGCAAGCGTGAACATCGCTTGCACGTTCAAAATAGGTAATAGTTCAAAGGATAATCCCTACTGCCGAGAAAACACGGAGAAAATTAGTCTCAATTTAAATAAAAACACGATCAACAGATGTATCTTAAGAATTAATCTTACATTCGTGATGTTTTTGTATCCTTCCTATTTGCATTTTTTTTCTAGTCATGTCTGCATGTCTAGTTGTATCCCGATTCGAAGGAGGGGAGCAGTTTAGTCAAAGTCTCATAAGGCAAGCCTCGAGTTCCGTTCTCTCATGGTTGAATAATCGTCTTCGGAGAAGATTTACATAGGCTTCCTGAATCAGAAGTAAGACCTAAGATCTAACTCGCGCGTGATTCATATAGACTTCTGACTCATAAACGAGGCTGAGCTCGTAGCATCGGCGGTGTATATTAATTCCTCGACTTGCGTGAAACGTATCCTCGTCACCCGTGCGGCCCTGGGGAGCATGATCGCATGGGTCCGTGATCAGCGCGGGCTGAAAATGGACGGGACGTGCTTGTCGCAGCCGCGGCGATCCGCAATACGCGCTGGCTCGCCATGTTCTGACAGCGCGACGACGCGATCAGCTGTTCGGCGACAGCGTCGCTCGCGCCCAGCTGTGAGCGGTGCGCTCAGCTGACGCCGCCATCGATACACGCCGTCGCTCCCCCTCTCACTCCACCAGGTCTCCCTCCTTCCTCCTCCGTCCTCAGGAACGGATGTGGATGTCGTGTCGCCCACGTCCGTCCATTGTTCACCGTTAACTCCCGAGATAAGCTTTTTTGCAAATTAATGAGATAGCGAAACGATTTTTATTCACCGTATTTATGCCAATACGACGTGTCTCATCGATATTCATATTCATTATTGCATTGCGCGAATGTTAAATACGTACAACGTGCTCTCTAAAACTTTACATCAAAATGATTCCAAAATGATCTTCCACTAAAAGTCATTTATTTTAATGTCATTTTGAGGTTATCGTGACTTGCTGTTCCGCTTGGGTTAGATTGAACCTCATTTTGAAGAGTGAAATCTCATTCTTTTTGCAAGAGAATTTTCTTTTCTTAATTTTCACTCTTTATAGAGCCATTCCATTTTAAAGAATTTAGAGAGTGATATATCAACAAATTAAAGTTTTCTCCCAATTCCGAAATAAATGTAAATATTCGGATTTCGTCCAAGCGAATTCTCAGATGAGCTTTTCTCGATTATTCGTGGGGAACTTTATAGTGCGTGGGATATATCGAAAGAAATTGACGCACGTCTCACGTGAGACGTCTTGAATTTCGTTCGATAAGACTGAAAAGACGAAAAATCACGGCGAGACAGCCGGACGACTGGCTGGTGTTTCGCCAGTGACGTAACGTGGGCAGCGAGAGTGGATATTAAGAGACCTCGAGTTTCCGCTCGTGTATTAGCTTTCCGTTTATGTAACGCGACGTTAAGCGCTCTCGCGACCCGTTCGATCGCGTGCATTCACGATACGCTGAATAATTTTCTTTCACCCGCTCGAGACATCGCCTTTCGTCCGCCTCCTCGACAACGTGCGGCTCGTCGAAAATCGAAGGTGGCTTCTGTCGCTTCAGTTAACAATTTCTCGTGTACGCGCTAACTGCGCAGGGACGTAGCTAGAGATTAATTCGGGGGGGAGGGGGCGGAAGGGGGGGTGGGGAATTATTCCGTTCTCGTGCATTTTTGTTCATTGTATTTTTTTCTAAATATTTTCTAAATATTTTTTTCTAATAATGAAAATCTGATTGTGCGTTAATATATTTTGACAAATATTATTGCAGCGAAATATATCTTATCTTATTTGTCGATAGAAAACTATGTGAAGGCATTAATTGATAATCAATCATTGATGAACTTGACTACTTAATCGTCACTCATTGCGATAATGAAACCGAGATAGTGATATTTAGGACACTACTACTTAAAGAGACGTCTACGAGTCGCTCGACTCATAATTTACGCAACTGTTAGCTCATAAATTAAAAGATTTCTGTCCATTTTCTTTAATAGCGTGTTACATCATCGAAATCAGCATTATTTCTTTTTACTTTAGTTACCTCGTAAATAAGGAGATGGATTTAAGATAACAATAAAACGTCTCGTTTTCTCGTGTATGCCAGCGTTCGAATTCATTGAGTTTTTAGTTTTCGTTCCTGCGTTTTTCATTCCTACGTGTCGCTTAAAAAGGCGTTAAACGTCCACACTCGATCGTCAGCAAAACTCGTGAATCGGCGATATGCGAGTCGCATTGGCCCTACCAGTATTGTACTAACCATTCAGGAAACCTGTAACCCGCCGCGGCAGGCCGCGAACTGCACCTTGTTTTCTTTCATCACGTGCACTACGCGCAGTGCGGCTATAACCAGTCCTGCGGACGTGACACAACAACAAATTTAAAGGGACGACAAAAATCCAGAAGGCTCCTACGAGCCGTCTCAAGCACGTTGGCCCGCGCGACGCGTGCTTCGAGATCGAAAAGCGATCTCGATCGCTTGGTGATAAGCTTCCAAGAACATTTGGAGATTTGATAAAGGTTGTTGTACTCCATTTTGCAAGAGTGTGCCATTTTTGACATTGTCACTTGGCACACTTATTTGACATTTCAATTTATCATTTTCCTTTTTTTCGCATTTTGACTACAAACGATCTCAATATATTAATGAACATCGGGATGATACTCCTCTCTTCAGATGTTACATAAATACTATGATAAGAGTAACTTTTATTACTCAATTTTCCATTCCTTTAGTTTAGTTCTTGTGTGCAACTTGAAATGGATTTTTTGTCAGAGGAATTTGTCATCTTTTTCTGCAAATTGCTTAACTTTTAGTTTTTGATACTTCGTTCATCTACGTTCGAACTGAAATTCTGCTTGAACAAAGGCTACTCTTGAGTAGTACAGATAGAAAAAGGAGATTTAATTAACTCAGCCTAACTGATTCTAATTGGGAGAAAACAGTGGAGGAATTGGTTGCAAGTGGCAGTATATAGATGATCCAATACTTAAAAAAAAAATATAATATATTGTATACGAATGTATTCTTTTATCGCTAAATTTCATTCCTGATGTCATAATTCCTGTACTTTCGTTAAATTCGTGTTTATTTTTAATCTCTCAAATTCCTACTTTTCAATTTATTGCATTCAATACCCCTACAGCACAAATTAAGTTGCACAAAAGTTGCAACACTGCTGCAACATTGCAGCAACATTACAGCAACATTACATGTTGCAGCGATATTAAAGTAAATTCTATGCTGTATGAGTATCTATTGAATAACTTATAGAGACCTTCTTTCGCGGATCACGGATGTGAACATGTTACATCGATGCTTCTTACAGGTATGCACTGCCTAGGTGCGGTGACGGGAGGAGGCACCTCCAGCCCGAACGGGGCTGGCGGTCGGGGTGGTGTTCTTAGTGTGTTTCGAGCCCTTGGAGTCCTTGTGTGCGAAGGGAGAATCCAGGGCCCTCCGCGTGGCTACAAAGAGGGCCCACACTGCGCACCGCCTATGCAGGCGGTTCCAAATGACCACGTGTGCGAGGAGAACAACTATCTGGTACGTAACATATGGTGTCCCCGTTACTCTCCGTTGTTCCTAGGCGACCTACTTATGCGCAGCTTTGCCAGAGGAATATAAAAGCCGTCGAAGAAATTCGTTCGTTTACCAATTAAATGGAACAATTGTAATTTTTACTGTTAAAAATATTCAAATGCTATACAAAAGAAAATAACATATGTATTTGCAAACTTCTTAATGCTTTTTAATGATTAAATAATAAAAATAATCATTAACGTATAATAGTTATACAAATTAAGGTCTATAAAAAAATGAACAAATTACAAATGCAAAGATACAAATTGTAAAATTTTCTTTATCAGAAGAAATTTGGAAAATTTAAATTTAATTTCGAAAAAAACTGTATATTTATTACTTATTTTATACGTTACATTAAAATATATTTTCACAGAAAGTATGACATGATCGACTATAATATACAATAAAGATGGTTTATCTTTTTATCTGTTAACTTTATGAAAACTTTTTTGCCTACATTTTTTTTCTTTAATTTTTCAAGTGCAATCGATATCGAGTACTAATTCAGGAGATCACGGAACGCCTCGCTATTGGATCGTACCTGTGCGTGGAGGTGCTTTTGTGCAGCGATTGTCCGTGTGGTTTGGCAAAGTCCACTTGCAAATATCCTGTATATCCCGTGCCGTCCTTATCCATTTCACCATGGCAAAAATGCGCTTCGGAAATGTTACTGGAGTACTGGTGTATCTGCGTTGTCCCGAGCAAGTAAGTCGTGCTTTATTTCATTTTGTGCTGCAAAATAAATCTAGTTACAAAAGAAAATTGAAGAAATAAAGGCAAGTATGAATCATAAATAATAGTATCAACTGATCGGCCTAAATATGAATGTAAAAAGTTATACATGTCGAGAACGACGGGATATTTTAATTTCGATATCAAATCATTTTTAACGTAATAATATTTATTCATTGAATTATTTTTATTTCTTCAATTTGATTTTTCAAGTCTCTAAGTTCTAGTAATATTTCTAAATTTATTAAAACTTATTTATTATACTTTTTTAAATATCATATATCTATATCCGGTTGCTTTTAGGAGCCAGGAACCAATGAATTTTCAAGGATTATACCAAGCAGTGCGTTCACGGTTACACTTCAGCCAGGTTGCAGCGTGGTGGTCGCGCAGCAACGGCGCGGAGCCGAGTTACATAGCCACCCGGATCGTATCGCACAATGAGGATAATCTCAGTAAATTTCGAGAAACGTCAGTGGAGCATACCTTTCCTCTGGCTGGTAATGGTGATGGAAATTCCATCAAGGTACGCAACATTATAAATTATGTTTACAAATATATACAATACAAATCGATAAGATTAAAATCAATGTAATAATTGGCATCATAATTTTGTTTTAGGTAACTATGTGGGCACTGCCGCGAATGGAAGAGGTACCCATACTCACGTGTTCGTTACATCCGAAAAAAGAAAAAGACGAAGAGGATATTGCGAGGGCGTTAACGCCCACCAAGAGTGTCCCGATAGGATCTGGCAGCGCGCAAAATCCAGAGGGTCTCGTCTTACCTGGTAATAAACTATAAATATATTGACGTGTGGAGATTCATAATTATCTTAACAATTTTTATTCGAACATAAATTAAAACGCTTTTTTTTTTAATAGTTCTAGTGGACGACAGACTACAAACCACTTGTAACAAGTCTGGCAAGCATGATTGTCGTTGTGAAGAAGAGGACGTATCCCCTCTATCGCCTACCATTAGATCTGGCGAACGGAAGCGTCGTCGATCGCTTCCTTGTGGTCCGGCGGAGAGTCCTTGTGTGAACTCGCAACCGGCACCGTTACCGTCCGTTCAAGAATATGTGCAGGAGGTAAGGGACAACACCAGCTCGAGCTTAATGAGAAACTCTACCGAGTCAATAAACAACCGTATGAGAATTCTCCAGAATAGAGAAATAGAAAACAAGAATGAGGTGAAAACTCACAATAATCGAAACTCGGATCTCGAACGTTGCTTCAAAGTACATCTAAAGATCGAGGATCTTGAACACGACTTGGGGAAATATTACAAGCATACAATGACAGAAGTTTCAGAGATTGCCAATTCAAAGAATACTGAT